ATGGGAGACATCACTGATTGTGAAAAATGAAAAGGTCATTTGCACATGAAACAATGAAGATGTAAGAAAATTGTAAAGAGTATGAACAAGTTTAGCCAGTGTGCGTAAGGGGAACATTACATTTTATAATTTCTTCCAGCATCAAAGGAGAGTGACCCTAAAAGGACCCTGAGAATGAGTGTGTGCATGCATGAGTGTCTGTCTCATTCATCTCTGTGTGGCCCTGTTACGGACAGGTAACCTATCCAGGGTGTACCCTGCCCACGCACCCTTACTTGGGATTATTTATGTTTCTGTTTATGCATTTAGCAAAAGCTTTTATCCAAAGCAACTTACAAAGTAGACACAATGTTACAGTTATCATCAATTTGACAATAAGTCCTCTAGAGGAAAATTCCTAGTCAGAATCAGTGGTGACAGCAAAGAGATAGATGTAAGTGCAGAAAGAGTAGTAGAGGGGGTATAGAGGTATGGGTAAGAGTTATGATAGGAGATGCTCTTCATGTGTTATACATACTTGACTACCTCTTGGACATCTAACAGTAGCCCAATAATAATTATTCGGTCAAGAAATTAATGAGGTGTTGGGGATGAATCACCTATTTCCTTTGCCATCAAGGTGAAAATCAGTTTTATGTCTCATTGTTTGATGAGAGAGTGGCTCTAAACATGACATTACCTCCCTCAAACACATTAAGTCGTCTCTTTCTCAGCTTCTACATAAGTTTATGCAGGAGGAAAAAGAAAATGGACATGCCCATGATTGTGATGGAAACCTACCGTATGCATTTACTCAGGTTACAAGATGCTTCGGGAATACAGATTAGCTAATCTTTTTCTGTTCATCCGCTTACTCTTTCAGTGAACAGACTAATATCGTCATGAGCTACTATGTCCTAATCACAAAAATGTGACATCTATCATAAAAAATGTAGCTAAGTGGACTTTCTGAAATTTTGGTAGAATCAAATTAAGAATTGTTATAATTGGTTCTAACTTGCCAAACACTTAAATTGTTACTTGTGAAAACAAGTTAGTTACCAGTTGATATGATATTACCCATCCCATCCCATTTCAGTCATAGAGTTAAAAGTGTAAATCAGACAAATACATTTACCTGGTCAGAGTCAAAGACCGAAAGGAAAAATGAAGCCATTGCACTCCTCCTACGCTCGTAACTGTAGGACTCCAAGGTACAGAAGGTAGACTTTACAGTTCTCAAAACAATTAAGTGAACTGAACTGAAATATTGGCAAAGGGACACATAATAATAACAGGGTCCCAGTTATACCATAACAGCTGTCCTGCTAGTTAGCTCCGTTGCTATATTCACTTTCAATCAGGCAATTACTCTACTTAAAACATCATTAAAAAACCATCAAACATTTGAATCCTAAACTAACTTGAAGTTAAAGCTGAATATATGAATAGAAAAATATAACCGTTGACAACATTTTAAAAAGATGCAGCTGTTTCAAGTCACACGCATCTGTATTTGTTGTCATTAATCTGTCATGTCTCTTTGTGGCCCAAGCCTGAGCGCTTTTTGCCTCCCTGTCCCACAGCTGTGGAGCTCACAATAATAGAGAAGTCTGTAAGCGGCTGTACCATGCAATAATGAAAAACATCCCATGCAGCGAGAGGAAATAGGAGATTTCATAATCCGTCTGAAGCCTTGTGCCTGGTCGCTGGTCCATGGAGAGAGTCTCATTAAACTTCTCATTAGTGACACACTGAGCTTCTGTAATGACTGAATGCATATATAAATCACCTCAAACATGAAAGCAGGGATGACAACAATGAGCCTAAGCTGCATCACCATGCTGACAACTCCTCTGATAAGAGCATTTGTGCTTGACAAATGGATCAGTGTTGAAAAAAAACATCTCACCTTGTAAACTCACCTACAGCACTCCATCTACTGGAGGTATGAAGCCTCAGGACAAATTCGACATATACTGCTCTCTTGAATCTAATTAAAGCACTTCCTCATCCACAATTAATTTCAACTTGACTTTATTCCAGTCTCCGTGTTGGTAACCTTTATCATTCCAGGTGGTTACACTGAGATAAATGGCAGGAGTCGTGTGTATAAAATCAGAAGCATATATTGGACAAGCACATTTTATTTTCACTGCTTCATGGAAAGTGAAGCAGTGCTGCTTGAAGCAGTGGTAGTGCATAGGATGATATGATGGATATAAAATTTGACCAGATGTGGATGTCACCTTTCTCGTTTTGCAAATTGTCACCTTTTTCTCAACAAATGGAACAAATAGCATTCAAAAGAGCTATGCAACTGAAAAAAAAGAAAAGAAAACTCCTGTCCCTGGGGATGTTAGGTGTATATTTGTATATGCAAACTTCACATCTGAGATGAGCTGCAGGAAGACAGATTGAACACCCAGTTTGAGCTCTGAAAGAGTGAAAACCTGGGGTATAAAAAAATCGTTCACAGACTAGAGTGATGTGAGCAGATTAAAACAGCATTGGGTGTACATGTGAGTGTTTGAATGTTTGCATGGTCTGTGTGCCTGCTTGGTTCTGCAAATGAAACTGTCTATGGATACTCTGATCATTGCACTCAAAGCTCGCCCATGAAATTTTTGCATTTCTAGCTGGGAGCAACCCCTGACGGCTTACCTGACACAGAAGCGACTCGGCTTTCTGTTTGTGTCAGCGTTTGGCACGTAGAGGCGAGTGGCTCAAAGGAGGCAGACTTCGCTGCCCAGCCCCCTTACCTCAAGGACACTGTGCTTCATGAGTCGTAAAAAAAGTGGATCAAGTCAGCACGTTAGATAGTCGTCGACTGAAACTCAACATTTTTCTTTGTTTAATCTTCAGTGATAAACTATGAAAATAAACAAGAGGGAAACCTTTTGTCCTGTTAAACAAAATGACTGATCGTTCAATATGTTCACGTCAACAAAACAAACACATAGAGACAAATCACAGCCCCAACTCAGCACAGCTCTGACTATTATCCTTTCTATTTGGGCAATATTTTTGCATAGAAATCAGAGGACATGAAAGGCAGAACTAAAATGTCCCCCCATCCATTCATCTATTTTCTACTGGCTTATTCAAATTCAGGGTCGTGGGGATCTCAGCTGTCATCAGCATTTTTCTGTATTTTTTTTAAGAAGTCCATCCAAACATTTCTAATAACTATGGAACAACCTTCTCTTTTTGTCTCATTGAAACACAAGGTTTTTCCCTGCTGATGTTTCTGATGCGGTTCTGATGTACTTTGGAAAATCAAGAGTGTTGGTATAGCTTATTTTCTCCTGGTGCAGTTGACTAAAGAAAATGCACTTCACTAAGTTGGGTTTAAAAGGTCACAATCATTAAATTACTGAGCCAGTAGTAAAGCAAAACGTTATCTAAATCACCAAAAAAAAGGTAACAAAAACCTTGTTGGAAATTATGATGACAGTTGTTTTTGTTGATGACATTAGAAGGCCCTGACAACAATTAACACAATGCCTTCCCATTGTTGCTTACTCATTCATTACACCCTTCTGGTTATATAAAATTTCCTATCAAACAAATTGTGGCATGTATATGGGTCATTCTGGGCTTACAGGGAAATAGCAATGAGCAAACAGGATGTAACTTTGTAGCTGCAAACCGGTCAGAGTTTATATTGATTGCCTGTGTAATCATCACCTCGTATTCACCAGCCAGCCATTTCCACTTTTCTACTGAGCAATTACCGTTGACAACAGCAGCTTGAACCCACAATTTGTGTTGATATGATTGCAGATGGAGATGAAAAATGCCTGGGCACTTCCTGTTCAACCACTATACAATGTTTATTAAACAGACTATATTCTGTAGAATCAAACAGTTTTGTTTTTCATGCATGTGCACTATTGAGACATTTGTAAAAAAAAAAGAAAAGAAAAGAAACAAAAGAAAAGAAAACAAAAGTTAAAAAAAAAAGGTTATTGGACTGTCTGAATAAACACATTCTAATATAAACACATTTTATATTTTCTTATGAACTCTATATATAACAGTTTCCATTTCTAAGGACAACAAAAATATAAATAAAGCGCATGTTTATTATATGCATATAAGCATGTACTGTATTAGTCTATCAAATCGTATGCAGTTCCATTCTCATCTCTGTGCCAAGAGGTAACCTGTTTAAGGATTCTGGCTGAGATGTGAGAGTAAAGCTAGAACAGAGTATGCTGTATAACAGTGGGAAGGTAGCAATGACACGGAGACCCCATTGCTCACACTACACTCTCATTATCTGCTGTGTCTCCAGAACTTCAATATTAGCCAACAATAAGCACTCTGCAGGACCATCTGCTCTGCTACCAAGGGTTATTTAAAGACTGAGAGAGACAGCCATTGAAAGGGGAAAGAAGAAATATTTACCAGGCTATTTGTGGAAATATTAAGAGAGGAGAGACCAGGGGAGAAAGACCATGAGACGTGGGGGGTTAAAATAGGCTTTAAAAATATCATCTTATATGTAAGGTGTAGAGATGTTTTACAGGTAGTTTAAAACTAATAAAACACTCATTTGGGAAAAAAGGTGAAATCATAAATCAGTCTCCATTAAATCAGTTGCAAATTCGTTACTAGTTAATCACTAAAACCAAACCAAACCATGGAATTAAACTATTAAATAAGCCAATATAACCTCATTCTGGGATATATTTCACTTGTTTTTAGTTTATTTTTTTTATTGGGGAAGGTAAGATTAAAATCTCTTCAGATATTTCATATAACAATCTAATACAGGTGAAACAGAGAAGTTTAAAATAACTTATTCATCATCTGAGGCCTGCAAAGTTTACCAATCTCTTGACAGTCTTTGTCAAGACTAACTAATACCAATTATCTTTCAAGAAAGCTAAATGTCTGTAATAATACATTTATAAATATCTGAAATATCTTATTCAGAAACTGCATATCCTCAAAACATTCCAGCACTTTTGCACTGAATGATTTGTTGTTATTTTTACAACAGAGATTCTTACCTTCTGTCTAATCTCCTCCTCCATTTTGACGGGGGAGCCCAGCTCAGCCACCTGTTTAACTCCGTCACTGGCAAAGCCGCCGTATTCCCAAAGCACATAATTCTTGGAGTGGGATGAACCAATAATTGCTGACCAGTGATTGGCACGACCTATAAAGCAAGACAGTAAAACATCCTGTTAGCTGGACATCTCAACATTATCGCTGCACTATTCCATTTCAGATCCACTTTGTAACACTTTAGAAGCTTAACTCCGGACCCCTAGAATTCCAAATTGTGCATTCTTTTTGGAAAATTTATCCCTTTTGGTGCTGAAAGTGTATTTCCAAACAGTGACTTTTAAAAGTATATATTATTTACCTGTAAACATACAGAGTATACAACAGTGGTGGTAGTAAAAATGAACCACTGAGGTGATAGAGCCAATGAAAGTGGAGGCTGCTGCCCTGTTGCATCCTTTGCTACAGGGATGAACACGGCATGAAGTACAGCTATTCATACAAGCAAGATGCTTTTTGAATGTGTACAAGTTATTGTGAGAAAATCTTCACATTCTCACTTTTGGTGCATGGTGGTCTCACATACTTTAATATTTTTCTATGACTTCACAACATCCAATTGCCTACGATTCTTACCTCAACATGAGAGTATAAATTAGATTTCAAAGCTCTGTTTAACTTGGAAGCAAAAAGAGTCACAAGACCAGGAACTTTATTATGAGTTTCAAGACACACTTTTCAGTTACTTCTGAGAAAAACTTATCATCTGAAAGATGACTGATGTTCCATAAAATGGAAGATTATACAAGAAGAATTGAACAGTTCATTCACATACCAATCTGAACAAAGACTTACCTTACTTACAAAATCTTATATCTTATATATCAGTTATTTCACTCATTCCAGTATTTACTCTTATATTGTTGTAAGTTTGTATGATAGTGGACTGGAGCGGAATCGTTCTTGTTCTGCCTATTGCTTCTGATTTATACAAACAAGAAATTTGATTGTCTTTGTGCTTTTTTGTTAGACTCAAATTTGAATCTTTTTTACTCAAAATGAATTTCCTTTCTCTTTGGAGAGTTTTGACTCACAATCATGAACATGACACCAACAAGCCCAGTAACACAATTAAGTTTGAATTCAGCCAGTTTTATGTTATCTCAGTACAAAGACTCTTAATTTGCATACATAACCCTTAGAGGTTAATTTAACTTTTTGTTTTTACAAACCAGAAACAGATGAATATATTAGTGTTGTAGCTTACAAAAGGTTTTTCTGCTGGAACAAATTTTTATGTTTAATGTCTGATTGGTATTTTGAGATTTGCAACAGCTAGAGAATGTTCAAAAAGCCCTAAAAAACTCTCACTTCCGCTTATTTAAAAGCTATAGATACAAGAAATAATATATATTTGATGGATACCAGCTGCTTGATGTGGATTGTCGGAAAAGTAAATGCATGAGACAGTGACTTTTGTACATGTGGGCTCATGAAAGTTTAAAAAAAAATGTATAATGTCATATAATCCATCTATGAATTTATTCAGCCTGGGAGAGTTTCACGTAGAACTTTTTTTTTTACTTTCCTGACTTTTTCTCTATAGCAATCTAGTAATGTTGCAGGAACTAAAATAGGACAATAAGGGGAGAGAAAATAAAAATGCCAAGGTTATCATGTCTGCAGCTAAAAGTCCCATTGGCCTGTTTTACAAGGAAATTTGGTCTCAGAATATGTGTCACTACAGTGGTTCACCTGCAGCTGAAGGGTAAGTGTTAAAAATAGAATGATAATGTGACAGCAATGTAGATCCCAGACAAGAAAATTTGCTTTAGCACTGCTTGCAACAAAAATACAAAGTTGGGTCAAGAGAAAAAAGCAAAAGAAAAGAGAAACACAGTCCTGTGCAATATGTGTACTGTTATAATAACTAGTTACCTAGGAAATGACATTGTGCAAGGAGAAATCAATCTGTAACACCCCAAGAGTCAGGATGAAACAGAAGCCACACAGCTTGCCCTTTCCTCTTCTGGGTTGATCTATCTTCGACACATGTGTGTGTATTTGCGTATGTGTGTGTGAGAGCGAATCAGATTCCGGCTACTCCCTCCATAAAACAGTGAATTAGGGCTCCTTTCAATCTCAGGGTTTATCTTATTCCACTCTAATCAGTATATTGATCTGACCGGCGAGAGGCTGATTTAGACAAGAGAGGCAATGTAATCCGTAAGTCTATTCACATCCTGATAGTGTGGCTCAAGGTTATATGCACATCACACCCATCCATGGTACAATAGCTCACCACCCACGTCACTACTGAGAGTAGTGTGCAGGGGCTAAGCCACAAGGCTTAACCATCACAATCCTTGTTTTTTTATCTCTGTCTCTTTTTTTCTAGTTCTTTTGATTTGTTTTGTTTTACGTTCTTTTTTCTGTTACCAATAGTAACAGATTAGAATGTTAAATCTCAGACAAATACATTGTGCCTGTCAATTGTGTCATATTTTAAAACACCTATGCTTTCTTTAATGATGAGTACATGTTGTAAAATCTAAAACAGTAGTCACAGTAAAACGTAGAAATAAAAAGATTGAAGAAAAAAGAATACAGTGCTCATATTTCTTACAATAAACAGCACTGTTTGATAGCAATGTCACTTCACTATCCATTCTGTTATTTTTATGCCAGGCAGCTGTAGGAAAGTAAGAAGGAACTTATCAGATAAACTTGTGTATGGAAAAACAGGGCTGATACGACAAAGGAGTGAAGCGGCTTTGCTTACGGGGATAGTCTTTGGGATGAATCTTCTCTGACCAGTTCCCATAGAAGGTGACTCTGTACTTTGCCGTCCCGCAGGCACAACAGTCAAGCAAAGGTTTATCAGTAGCATCTCCATATAGCGATTCTGTGGGGGAAAATAAGCACGGATAAGGATAAAATAAATAAGCAAAAGAGAGAAAAAGAGAGGGCCGAGACATGCAAGCAGATAGATTGCTCATTATCATCAAGATATGAGAGTGATGCCCATCAAACACAAGATGAGTAGTTAACATTGTGGGGAGCCAATGGGGAGAAGAGAGGAAGGGCATTAGGAAAAGACATACAGTTCTTTTGATCTGTTGCTCTGTGTGGCATCCAATGTCATGCACACCCAGGGGGTCACATTCAAGTACAATCATTCACATGCCAGAGCGTAACAGCAAAAAGGAACGGCCCTGCACCAAATGAAGAAGGAAGGGAAACTGAGCTGAGATCATCAGTGGAAAGCAAATTAGAAAACCCACACGGAGACTGAAGGAACTGGAAATGCATGGTTAATAATTTCTTCCAGGCCAATAAATACAGCCTACCTTTCTCACACATTCGCTTGGTCAGTGCACCTTCATCCTGGAAATAGATGATCCTCTTCTGCACAATGCTAGCCCTGCACAGTGACAAAAGGATAAAAAGGAGCATCTTAGTTTGGCCAGATTTAAGCTTAGAGCGACAGACACAACACAGAGGGATTTGTGAAAAACATGAGCTTTCACAGATTAGCAAATAGTCTTAAAAACTTGGAAATTGATTCTGTCAACTTGTACAGGTGCACAGTTACACATAAATATATTTGTGTTATTTCAGTTCATTAGAAAAAATGTCAGGAGTTGACTTTTTCAACCACCCCACTCCTCATAAACAATGACAAAAATAATGAATCACTATAAGGAGTGTGCCTACACTGAAATATGACGAATCTAAAATGTAGAGAGGAAAACCACAAAACAATACGTCTAAAAGCCAATGCACAGGAACAGACATTTTAGAGGGCTAGATACTCTGTCGATAGGAAGTGAATGACAGGCGAGCTCCCCAAATGAGAGGCCTGGCAGAGGGAGGTCCAGTTGATTGAGCTGTCTCAGAGGCTTGTTCAACTCGGTGGTGGGGAACACAGGTCTAAGAGGGCTCTTGACATGTAAATCAGTCAGAAAAAACGTTGCTGAAGCCAGGAGACAAGAGAAAACAACAACAGAAAAACAAGCCTCCAGGCACCTAACTTCCTCACAAGCACCAGCCTTTTCCACCAGCCGTGGCTCATGGAACGTTTCCATGGGGATAAATCCCATAGATGAGGAGCTGGTTGGAGCTGCTAACTTAACAACAGGGCAAAGTGGACCTGGTCCAGTTGGATAGCTTTTGTACTAGTTATTCTGGAATATTTAAGAGCTTCATTGTGCTGATGGTTTTGAGGCCCACTTAGTTCAGAAACCAACAGAAAATAAATCAGGTATGATCCAACAGTTGAGCAATGAATGACACGCAATTAGTGAGGAGGACCAACTATGCTATATATCCTCACATAATCCAGACCAACAGTGTTTCTAAGATGTAAAGTTAACTTGTCTCCAAACATGTATGATTTTAGTGTTAAATGCAGGTCATCTCTCTCTATTTAACTTCAATATTTATATGGAACTGTTAAACCAATTTTACATACCGTAACTAACTCTAACTTTCACTACGTGAAGTTTAAAGCAACTTAGATTATCTATTTTTATTTTATTTTTTTATTTTATTATACATTTCATATATTCTATGAATTCGACGTCATACATGTAATACTGTTGGAATTTACTGTACTTCAGATTTCGAGTTGACTATTTGATCAAATTTCACTTCGTATGTTGGAAAATCTGTATGTTTAGGCAATCGTAAGTAGAGGCTCTACTGTAAATTAACTGATTTATTTGTATTTGGTATATTTAGGGTGGATTGGCCTTGATTTTTAGTATACTGGTTATTTGTATGCAGAAACAAGAAAAAATATTGAACAATTAGGACGCAAAAGCAATTACTTTACGAAATAGATGATGACTTTCACTTTCATAACAGGTCTTCTTCGAGGTTTGGAAGAACTTTTCAAATTATCCTGATCAGCCATAAAATGTACTTTAATTGAGTCATTCACACAGTTGTCAGCTGATCAGATTTTAATAATCACACTAGTTCACTTCCTTTAATTATTTCTAGCTTCTTAATATGCTGTTAGCCACAAAATATTTTAATTGGAAGTATATTCTAACATTCTCACAACACCAATGTCCTACACTCACATATGTCATTTTAATTATCAGCATTTTATTAGAAATCACTCAGCTCTGTAAACTAATTTGGCCTCACTCTCTTTATTACTTTATTGAAAGACAATCCTTCCACCAGTTATACCAAAGATTAAATGTGAAAAATGTCACTATATCAGTTGGTACAAAACATAGACTGCAATCATTTGAAATCCTCCTGACTTTCCCCACTCTAAAGTAGCCTTTTTTTTGTCTGTACCTTCTAAGCTGCTGTAATAAATCTAAAACATAAAAAGAGGCCAACTCTGTCTCACTGGATTTAACTTATTAATTTTAAGATAATGAAACTAAAGAATTCTGGTTTACATGCAATTATACAGGAATAAACCATGGTTATTAATCATATCACACATGTGCCAATGTTTGTCCCTTAATGTTATAGAGAAAAATGTAGCTGTCTTACAAAAATGCTTAAACCAGTTTATAAAAAAAGTTGTCCCACATTTGGTACTATGGAATGTGCCATTTTGAAATATTTAAGACTCATGATTTATGGCCAAGATGGCATCTTGCAATGTGGATTAAATCATTCAATGTAAGCGACACCACCAGCATATCACTAATTGTTCACACTTTAATTCAATCTCACCCCAATTCCGCATATATCCCAGAGAGGGAGGAGCACACTCTGCCTCACTGCTTGCCCACTTTCTTGGGCTGGCCAGACAATCAGGCAGAGTAATGCTTATTTAACATCCAATTTAAATTCTATCTCACTTGGCTAGATCCACACCACTGCCGATCCCAATCATCCCAAAAGAGCTCTGATTTCAATGTGTGTCTGTGCGTGCATGTGTGTGTGCAGGAGAATGACAGAAAAAGAAAAAAAGAGAAAAGGCCAAGGCTCGATTTCTGTCTGTCTGTATCTACTCGTTAAGAAAATAAATTTCTCATTTTGTTTTTAACTTCTATGGCAGCAAACATCATTTAAACTTTTTTTGTATTTTCTTTTAACTGCTCCTATTTGAAGGAGAGTAAACTAATTCATTGTATTACGTCTGCTCAGATGCATATTTAGAATTGCAAAAATGCAAATGGAATTACATCTCATCTCTGGTGGTCTGATCAAGTGTCTGGAAGGCCACTTTGATCGCCACCATTGTGTTAATAGAGATAAACAGATTCTGACAGTTGCATGCGGTTGTGACATTCACCTAATCATGGATGCACTCAGGCAGCCCATTAAAGCGCCCTCCCCCACCGTCAACACTAGAAAGAGCATGACAAATAATTCGCTTTCATCCACAAACAGATAGATAAAAAGATTGTGGCAACTTTGATGGGTACCAGAATATGCTAAACATTTTCTGAACTGAGTCACACTGGTCCTGTTGAGCAAGTAGGATGTAATTAACCAAAGGGATTTACTGCTGCTGACGCCTCTTGACTTCAAACTGACATGTTCTTGTTGAATGATTACAGCTCATATTCTTCTGGTCTCTGATGAACAAAATTAAAAATTATTTCAGTTAAGTCAAAATGTTCATAAAATGTTTCATTTAGTTTAAATAGCTGAAAACGTTATTTGATAAACTTACATCAACAGGCAATGATTATGATATTAATTGTTTGCATCTAAAGCCGACATTTGGTTCTATCCATTAACAGGTCAAGAAATTCACCAGCTCACCAACTAAATTTTAAAAATTTTCATGTTCTTCCTTAGAAAAATATAGTGGTAAATAGGTTGAATGTTCAAATTAATGTTCACTTATAAAATTTCTTCCTTGAAGTAAAGCGATTGAAGAGAAAAAGCCTTGATACAGGATAACTTATCATCAAATTATATTTTGATGAATTGTTGTCTGTAAAATACAAGCATAGATAAGGTCCACTGTCTCAGTATGGGAGCTAATTCCAACAGTTTTTTAATTAATCACATTAGAAAAAACAAACTCAGTTTGTCACAGCAGCCTCCTCATTTTAGTACTAGCCACAATTTAGTCCCTTGTTACTGGCAAATGTTCTGCTCTCAGGCTGCTGGTGTCAGTACTGACCAACAGCTACTTGGCAAGTGAAAACAGGCAACCAACAAAGTGGCAACAACTCAATAAGGAAATGATCTACCTAACTGCAAATTGAATCTATTTAAACAGCTTTACATATCCACAACATGTATTAAGCTTTTGATTAAATAGCTCTGTGTGGCTAAACAAATAGTTTGTGATAACCAAAGATCTAGCACCTAAACACACACAATGCTTAAGTGGGTCAAAAACACCTTGAATACAAGCCTGTATCCCTGTAGGGTGATGAGATATTCCGCTGCAGATAGCAAAAGCAAACTTTTTGAAGTGGAGGAAAGTATTTTCACCAGCATATGTGAGATGGTGGCTGAATCACATAAGAAAGCTTAAAATAGCTTGTGCCTTTCAAAGGTCGTACTGAATTTAGTTGGTTGAACGAGCATCTCTGCCTGAACCTATCATCATGGATGAATCGTTGACAAAACCAAACCACCAAGTTCAATGTTTCCAGCAAAAAGGCAGCAACTGCTGTCAATTATACTGTAGCTACCCACTGGCAACATTCAAGAGTCACAGGAGCTCTGACAAACATCGCCATCACATGCAGGCTTTTCTTTTTATGACCAGTTCTTCCTGTTGACCACAAAAAAACTTTTTAAAAAAGGCATTATGACAGGCAGTAACAAAAAACTTCTGGGACATAAAGTGAAATTAAAAACAAACATTTCCTCTGGTTGTTATGATAATGAATTTGTCCCGTTCACACAAATCTCTAAGCATGCATTTTCCTGTTGGTTTTTCCTGAATATAACTGTTGACTGTAAATTTTAACGGTGTGTTTCACCCTGGCCCAGGAAACATTATATATTACTCTTCATAGAGGAGTCAAGACATTGGCGATATATCAATGTAACTGCCATGTAGGTGGGGAGAAAAGCAAGGACAAACACTCGTCTGTTATTATGATTTTCACAGACATCTCTTTTAAACTGTGAGCTTATCACTGTATTTGACCCATTTGAGTGTTTACCAATATATTCTCAGTTGAATGGGCTGTCACACTTCCCAATTTTTTTTCTCCTTTATTCCTGCATCTCACTGAACACAATGCTGTTACACCTCCGGTCTCTATGGAGAGAGCGCATGGATCATACTACCTGACCTGTTGTGAGGAAAGTGTGATTACACATCGAGAATATTGAAGATGAAAACAAAAAGGAGTGGTATAAAAGGAATGGAGAGAGGCGAGATGAAAAACGAGAGTGGCAGACACGGCAGAGAAGGCACAGGGGTTATTGAGAGGGCAGGTCGCAGAGAGAAGAGCAAGGTGAATGGAAACCACAGCCACGGACACAAAGGGATCCCATCAAATAATGACATGCATTACTAAAATTGAAACCTCGTTATCATCTCTTTGTATCACCAAACAACACACCAGAAACAAGACTGAGTGCATAAACATTTAAATAATGCATTAATCTGAAGCCACTGTGAATCCCAACCCCACCGTATATTTCTACCTCCAGTACTCATTATTTTCAAAATAAACAGAGTGAAGGACAGGATTTCTGCCATAATCTGCCTTCGCTCTCTGTATGCAAGTAAACCCAGAAACTCCCTCCTGCTAAACCGAATGCTGTCAATCAGCCATGGCACTGCTAAAGCTTATGACCAAGCCAGGAATGTAAATTTAGTAAAACACTCATTTTAATATATGCTTTTCTACAGTGAATAGAACATAGGATTGTTTTATGTTAATTTAAACTTGATATATGCTGGTGGTATGGTCCATTACCCCATAGCGACGGAATGCATGGTTGGAACACAAACTCGGTTTTAAAAGAAATACGTCTAAATGCTGAGTAAAACGCTCAACCTTGGTTAGTTTTCTGCAGTGCTTTTCTCTGAATCGTTGTCATTTTCTCTCCCATTAAAACACTTTCCAGTAAAAATCTGAATTTTAAATGTGAAAAAGGAATTGTTAAGAATGCACAATTGTTATGTGTTTAGTGTTTACTATGTATGAACTGATAGGACAAGCTCCAGGGTATGTGGAACAGAAAATATATTCAGTTTTAAAATGTCCCTATATCAGTGTAACATCATGGCTACAACAAACAGCTAAAAGTCTTATTTCAAAGCCAACCGTCTCACATCATTGTATGCCAATTTCTGTTTTTCCACAGAAACTATGATGAAACCTCAGAGCATCATAATCATTTTAAGTACACTTAAATGATATTTTCACAAGTCTGCCAAAGAGTCAGAATTTTTTTACTTCATACTAATGCTTTTAAGATCAATAGAAGACATTTTGCTGATGTGTTAAGTGCATACCTCAAAACCTTTGAAAAACCAAGAGTAGTGTCTGCTATTAAATGAGCATTCACATCCACAGAATAACAAGTAGGAATGCTGCTTCTCATAATAGTTTGCGCTGCTCAATCACAAAATGAATTAAGCTTGTTTTCTTGCTTGTTTGTTTTGTTTTTTCATCATCGCAGATGAAGCTTGAACCCATCAGTGGTAAAAGGCCACTTAATTAGCAGATACAAGGAAACATCCCCTAATTAACACAGTTATTCGACAAGAACTACTAAGAGCAATTGATTAACACAGAAACATGTTTTTTTATGTACGCAATATAATATTCACGATTCATAAAATGTTTGAGCTGAGGACTTCCTTCTACTAAGCAGGTTCAGCATCCGAGGCTTGTACATACTTGAGTAAAAGACAGCCAGAGCCACTAGGGGGCGCAGTCCAAAACACTTGGATACTGGTACGCCTGCGGGGAGTGCTCTCTGTCACTGCAGGGGGACAGTTAGTCATAAACTGTGTCTCCTCCTCATCTATTATCTGTGAAGTGAAAACAGACACACACAAAGAGATTAAATTCCCTCAGATGAGACTTTAGCAACATCTCTATGTGATTTGGTTCATTCTGTCGTGCGTCGCTCCGCATTCATTTCCACTCACACCGTCAGATTGTAAGACAATTAAAACCAACACTGAGTTTGATCGCACATTTTAAACAACCGATGATGAATTCAATCAACCTAGCCTAAAACCATATGCTGTACACTGCTGTTGGGAGATACAACAAACATTTGCGACGCAATATCCTAAAAGAGATTAACTATTGGGAATAAGCGGTATTGATAATGGATGGATGGATGGAGATTAACTATTGCAATGTTCACATACATCGGTCCAAAACATTGTTAATCGGACATAACTGTCAAGTATGAAAGTATGACTGACATTCCAGAACATGAAATTTCTTAAATATATGCATCATTTAATGAATTTGAAGAGTAGCAGGGTGATAAATGGGATTCGACGAGAAGATAAACCCACTCACGTTCTGGGAGAAACTGCTCAGAAATAAAATATACCCTCTGCAACATGAATATTCTAAGTATCAACAAATATCCAAATCCTAATTGATTTATTTTGTTGTTGTTTTTTTGTTTGTCATTGATAAAGTTTCCATGAGGAGCCAAGGTGTTCCCAAGCAATGGTATCATAGGAGAAAAACTGCCTTGTCATGATAAAGAAAATAGTATAAATCTTCCAAATTGGAACTCAAACTGGAGTCTCATCACGCCCTCTCTACTCAGCTGCCCCCCTGACATACTAAGCATGTCATTGATTTTAACTCGACAGAAAAAGGAGTTGAGTTGGCTTCATGAAGGGTTGCAGTCAGTGAGCTAATATTCACTGCCCGGAGACCAAGGATCTGTTTGATAGGAAGTGACATCAAGGCAGTAAAAATGGGGAACTTTCTCACTCCATAAAGCTGTCAGCAGAGAATTTCCTTTGTCATGCCATGTTATGAATGAGTTCCCTTTAAAAGTCTGTGAGCGTGTGTGTTAGAGTCAGTCTGAGAGTGAGAAGGGGAGTCTGAGAGCTGTGTGTGTGTGTGTGTGTGTGTGTGTACATGGAGTTTATGTGTATGCAGCCTATCTTGGTCTGATGGATTATACCCCCACCTCTCAATGTGTTCCCATGGTTTCTAACAAGCATCCTGAGCTTGCCTGACTGGGGTACTACACATGTTAAAACCAGTGAAGCCTCATGGGAATCCATTGAATACCATCTGCAAAAAGAAGCGACCAGTTTGTCGCTAAATGACTTGTGACCTTTTTCTTCTTGTCCATTGTTTTCAAATTTTCTACACTTGACTGACAACATCTGCGGGACAAAATGTGCCTCATCATTGGATAACCTCTTTAAATAGAAACATTTGGAGTAAGTTAGAGTATGTGATTAGCTTTGCACCGGCTGATGGTGAGATCCCAGGTAAAATTCAACGTCAGCAGACACAACCCTGATGTGTTTGGAAATAATAAAACCGCTTATGCAGCCTAAAAGCCGCATCATTCTTTAAGCCAGACGATAATTCATTATAAAGACACATAACAAGTTGCCTCTCTTGACTTATTACCTCACCCTGCTGAGAAGTAATGTCTCACGAGGCATCACCAACATTCCATGCTTGTTTACACTCTTGCCAAAAAAAAAACACGCATACACAAATAGTGGCAGCTGACCTCCCCAGAGAGCTCAATGAAAGTGCTTTTCATCAAGTCGGGAGCTGTCCTGCGATGGCTGAGATGGGGCACACCAGCAGATTTTAAATGAGCTGTATACTGGGGAGGAAAAAAAGCCTGACGTCTTCTGTTGGAGCTTCTTTTCTATTTCTTTACTTTATGTGGCTGAGGGCTGGCCCACCTCGGGCTGCTTCGGGATGGCAAGTGTTTGTGTCCATTTTGGCAAAAGAGACATGAAACATGAAAGACTGAAATAATCATCAAAGATGAAAATTAGCCGTTTATTCTTGCCATTCTGTCATTTACCGTCTACAATGGGACCAGTGATCATCTGCACCTTTGAAAGGCCTTAAGCCTCAAACAGCCTGGCATGATTTAATCAAAGGCTGGCCTTTGTATTTTTCTTTTATGCCAACATCTAAAAGTCTATGGTCGCACATCCGTTTTTCTCATCTATCATTCCCTATGTCCCCCACACCCCTGTTTGGAGCAAAGGGACTGAATGTGACTATGAGCTATGAAGTCCTTCTCTCCTAAACTCCTGATGTTTAGCAGCAAAACCTGCCACATAGCTCAGGAGTTCACCGAAATCTTCCAAGCATAACAACAGCACGGCATCAACTGCTGAGACAAATACAACACGAAAAAGTCTTCGCAAGTGTCAACAGTGGGTAATGAGATTTCAGGTGTTCAGAGGACAAAAATACAATCCTTCACATCTTCTTGTGCCGCCACATTCAAGGCCAAGGTTCACAGAGTGTCACAGTGCAGTACTGACTGGTATCAGAGCAGCCTGAACAAATTTGTCCATGAATTGTGCGGCAGGCTCTTTTTTTTTTTTTTTTTTTTTACAAGGGGGTTGCAAGTGAAAGTGACAGATTCCCCACACATGCTGTCAAACACATTTAACAAGCGTTCCATTACAGATGGCACCGTTTTCAAACTTTGATTATGACACCGGGGCTACACAGCGGTGGGGTGTTTAGCACCCGCCGCCTCTTAGCGAGACAGTTCCCGGTGCAAATCCTAGGAGGGAGTTTACATTCTCTCCCTTAGTTTGCATGTTCTCCAAGGCGTGTCTCTTCCTCCCACCATCCACATGCACGTTCAGGTTAACTGGAGCTTCTAAATGGCCCGTTGGAATAAGTGTGTTTGGCTGTTGGTCTCATTATCTGTGTCTTTCTGCAATGGACTGGCAGAAACTGGCGGCTGTATCCCACCTCTCGCCCATTGACAGCTGGGATAGACCCCCCCCCCCCCCCCCCCCCCCGCAACTCTAGGAATAACCAGGCATAGCAAATGGATGGATGATTATGACACAAGGGATTTGGATATGTTTGATCAACCAGCTTTACAAAGGATTAGAAATCAATTACACAAGAATGTCTTCACCATTTTTTTACTTAGAAAGTTTAAACAAATTTCCCATTTTTCAGTATTTTTCAAACAATTACAAACCAAAAGTCAATGTCAGCCTATACAGAAAATTGTAATCTACTTTGAAGATGATCCGCGCTCATCTATCATTTATATTCTATTTATTTTTTTAATGTTTTGTATGCCTCAGAATCTGTGTATGCTGCTGCCTTACCTGGAAATTTCCAGCATAGTCCTCGTCCTTGTCTCCTTCTGTACCCTCCTTCAGGGCAATGAGGGTAAAGCCCCTGAAGTAGGAGGGAGTGGATGCAGTCACTGTCACTGGACGGGAGCAAACAAGAGTGACAGCAGGCATTAATTTAGAGAAGGGGTTAACTGCAATCCACATTCTGAACTCTACAGTAAAGTGGTTTAGTTAGCAACCAGTCCGTTGTCTTGCTGAAATTTACAAATAACATCTTGCATTAAAATATGAGATTTTCACAGCTTGCAACTCTTACAGTTAGCGTAGAATATATCTAGGAAGTTTAACATAGAAATATTGTGTGTTTTAAAGCTACATGGAAAATAGTTTTGTTTTAGTTTGGGGTCAAACTTTTACATGAAAACATAATAAACCTATCCAGGTAGCCTATGAGTTTTAAGACTTTGAAGAGGAAATAACTTACAGTAGGAGTAGTAACTTCAATCACTTCTCTATTAAATGTGTCTTTCGATCACATTTTCTTTACAAAAATTGTGCTAAAAAGCATTAAAAAAATATAAATCCCATGTGGCATTCTGTGTGGAGGAGAAGAGGATGGGTTTACAGGACCAAAGAACAGATGGCTCTTGTTCATGCAAGGCACCCAGATCACTTAGTCTGAGACAAAAACACAGTGAGATTACCGAATGAAGTCAAAGATGTTTTGATTTTTTTAATGAAACGATTAAAAACTAAAACAAAGATGCGCCAACTTATTGAGTGATTAATCTCGATAAAGCACGTTTATCCTTTGACATCCAATCACTTGAAAGAACTTGACTTTCTGGTGGATGTTCAAATGAGACTGAGGTGATCTGACTTTCCCTGATCCTCATGCATTCTTTTCAGAGTAAATTATGTTGCACCTTATTACAAGTTTCACGATTTTCTTTCTTTCTTTTTTACTGCCAATGTTCACAAAGTGGCAGACAGCGTAGAAGCCTATTCCAGGGACAAACACCCACCTCTGTATGTGCTCCCCGGCTGGTAGCTCTCCGGGTCTCCCTCAACGCGGAGGCGAAACTCGTTGTTGCTTTCTCTCCGGTTGCTCTGAGCCCGCAACACCCGGCTGCAATACCCGTCCGCCTTCCCGGCTCTCTCAGAGGGCTCCTCGGTGAATGCAAACGTATTGCACGCCACGAAAGAGGCGTAGCAGACCAGGAGCACCACGCGTGGATCCAGTCCGGTTGCTGTCATATTGTGGATTTCCGACGCGTCCAAGTTGACGCGTAAAGAGGAGAGGAATGTTGTCAGATGGAGAGGGGGGAAAAAACGTTAATCTGAGCTCCGGTTTCACTCCTAAATGAAATCCCAACTTGCCAGCTGCTCAAGTGCACTTCTGCTCTGCTAGCCCGGGCAGATCCATCCTGGTGTGAATGAGAGGAGAGGAAGAGGAGGAGGAGGAGGAGGACTCGCTGGGATGTGCTGTACGCTCGCTCGGAGAGAACGGCGCGCTGCGTGCCACTGAACAAGAGTAAAGGGGTCTGGAGAAGTGGCCAAGCGAGGAATAAAGGTTGCGTGGATGGCTCCAGAGCCACACAACTGTGCGCAAACCGAGAGGGCGATTAATACAAACCAACAGGAGAACTCATGCAGTCACCCCACTGACTGCGCTGATGAGGCAACACATTGGACAAGACTGAACTCTCACTGCAGTCCGTGTTAGTGTGTGGCGTCTCTAAACCCCCAAAGAAGACATACGCACGAGAATAAGCAAACGAGATGTGTATAGCACCTCTTTCTAACAATTTGGAAAGACCAGAAACCATTGAGCGTAAGCGTCTCTCACATGAAAATGAATTGAGTTGTCTTGCATTTGATTGTATATTTAAAGTGCATAAAGATTAAGTTTGTTGGGACTTGATTCTATTTAAATGTAAATTTATTCAAGGGTGCCTAAGTGTGTTCTGAAATCAGCCTGTCAGGATGGCATTGTGGTGCACTGAGACTGATAATGTTTAAAGGAAATTAATTTGAAAATATGTAGAGCTTTATTGTAACATGCAAAAACTGAAAAATGATTAGGTTAGATATGGATTCAGAGAGAAAGAAAGAGGGATTTTTAACATTTGAATATCACAGAATTTGTGCTCTTTCTAACACAGGCAAAAAAAGCTGAAACTCCTAGGTTATTGTTTCAACAAATGTCTTATTGTTTCTGTGGCTTTCCTTGGGGGAAATGCCAAAGTCTTTTCTGCAATGTCAATTGACAGCAGATGCTGTGACTTTTACAGATCACTGTAATCTGTAGTTGAATCTTTCATTCTAACACATACACTCTCACAAAGAAGACAATAGTGATTGATTGGTTTTCTAAATTTCTGGTGCTCACATTTTAGCAAAAGGTCAAGTAACACTACTGATGAAAATACATTGAAAAAATGTAATAGGATTCCTTTGTCTATTGTTTTTCTATTTTTTAGAATTTCTTTAGCTTCACATCTCTTGAGATGACAGCAACGGGAGAATTCAGTGTTTTATTCCGCTAAAATATCAACAAGTGTTTGATCCAGTATCGTGACATTTTGGGCACACAATCATGTCCCCTCAGGATGAGGCCCAGCTACGTTTGTGATCTCTTGACCTTTAGTCCAATGTGACCAGTGAGTTGACATTTCTGCATTTACGTGCTTGATAGTTACTGAAAACATTACCATGAAATCTTCGATAAGCACCCAAGCTCTGCCAACAATGTGACCAGTGACTTTTCTTCATTTATTCAGAGTTGTTTGTTTTTGAGTAGTGACATTTTTGGTTGGCTAAAACTTGTAGAAGCTGTGAGATAGATTGTCACACATTGACGTCATTCCTCAGGAACATTAATGACCTTTTAATACTCAAACAGAAATAGGTCAAGTTACTTAAATGTTTGGCATGGTAACTTTACCATATGATAAGAGCTAGAAAATCATCTTTTAAAAGACAGAGTTTTGAAAGTTAAAATGAATACTAAGAGCAAACAAATGCACACTCAGGACTAAATGCTTGAACACAAACACAACTGAAAATATCCACAATAATGTGTGTTCCTTACAACTGAAATTACAAACTCCTACGGTCTCTTAGCTGACCTCTGCTTTTTCTCACCCTGCTTTGTCTGTTGGTTTTCTTATTAACATGTGAATGCATGCTTTTCCACTCACCTTCACCATTTTAAATCATATTTGCTCATCAAAATGTCAGTTGATTTCAAGTAGTATCTGCTGAGTTCAACTACTACTTGTGATCAAGTCCAAGTGCTTTCCATAACAAAGAATGGCCTTTGTATCCAGGTGCAATGTAAACAACGCCTAATTTATTAACGTTTGTACTCAATGAATATTTAATCCAAACTATTCTAATTTTTTTAATTAATAATTTTATATTCATGTTTTGCTTGCCATTGATTTAATTACTTAAACCTCCTAAAAATCATACTGGTCACTACAACAGACAGGGGGTGTTCAAGATGGTTTTGAAATGTGTTCAATATCCAGTTATATATGGTTATATTTGAACTCTGACGTCAGCACCAATAATGGAAAATATAGACATTGTTTGGACTAATCTATTTGAAGAAAAATAGCCGACGGGAAAGAAATTACTTTTAAATGCATTCAGTGGTCTTCTTTATTTTGACACTCTGTGCCTCATTAGCTGGCTAAGTTATAAAATAGAAGCTCCTAATGGCTTACTGGCACTTTCTCTTGTTATTTTCACAGTTTTTTTTCTCTTTTTCCGCTCACATTCCTTTTTTCCCCTCTAAAGTTTATCAGCATTGGCAGTTGTCTGTTAAACAGATGAATATCAGTCAGCTGAATAAAATCAACCGTTGTTACACAACAGCAACACAACACCGGGTGATTAACTGTGAGGAGTTGATGTAATCTCTCAGTTTCTCTACTTCTTTATCTTGTTCAGACGGTATGACTATATTTTATCCTTTGTGACATTTTCTTGCAACACCCCCAGAGTTTATTTTAGTCCTTGGAGAGGTCAGCAGGCATATAATGGGAATGCACCTTCTGATGGGCGCTGACAAATGGAAAGTGGCTATGCTCTGTGCATCTACCGCTCTGCTGATGGATGGATGATAGGGGAGGAAAGAAATGGAGTCTGGACGGCAGAACACTACACCAGCAGGTGTCATGAAAGTATTTTGTCTCACTGTCCTGCTGAGATGAATCTCTTCAATACCCCAAGTGTCCAGGGTTACGCGCTGCCTTCTGCACAAGTTAATGTACATGAAAATAAAAATCTGCAGGTTTGTTCATGTTTGCTGCATTTTTGCATCTTTGAATGAAGAATATTAGTGACAAAGAACCCCACTGCTATGAAAGCACATTTCTATTGCGATATATTCTGTGAAAACTCCACTGACTGCTGAATATTGATTTCTTTACTATCCATGCTCTATTTAAAACCATATCCAAGTTTCCTACACTCAGATGACAACCACTTTATCTTCATTGGGTTTATTATACTAGAAAGGTTATAATGTTTTCCTTCTACAACCAGTCGATGCAATTTTTGCAAAAAATACTCACGAGTGGTCCTTTTCTTAACATTAATGTCCTTAAGTAGGGGACTTAACCTTAAAAAACATCAAGAGATTTACTCAAAGGCCAGAATAGGAATCGTCTAATGTAGTACAGCCAAGAGCTGTGACATACGGTAAAATTCAAAACAAAGCTCAATTTACTCAGAGAATACAGCAAACTATATCTATTTAAATCATTGGCCAATAGATTCCTGTGCTGTTTGATCCAAATCCTTAGATCTAAATTATAACATGAAAATGGGCTTATCCATATATCCACAAGTTATGCGATTGTCTGAAAATGGGTAAGATCGATCCATCCATCTCAGGGATCGGGTGGGGCGGGAGTTTATCCTAGCTGTCATTTGATAAAAGTCAAAGTACACCCTGGACAGCTCGCCACTCCATTACAGGGCCACACATAGACAAAAAAAACATTTGCGATCCAACTTACTCCTCTGATCCATTTAGAGTCAGCCTATCCAACATGTTTTTGGACATTACTCTTAAAAATAAAATATTACAACCCTCTTGATATTGAAAGTTCCATGACACCGCCCAGATACACTACATTGTCAAAAAGTATTTGCTCACCTGCTGTCCCATTCTTAATCCGTAGAGCTCAATATGGCGCTGGTCCACCCTTTGCAGCTGTGACGGCTTCAACTCTTTTGGGAAGGATTTCCACAAGGTTTTGTCCATTCAGAGTTCCTTTCACTGGGCCAAATCCAGCTCCTGCCAAAAACTACACCATGGAAACTCATTCCATGAAGCTGTTTACACACCGCTCTTAATCTGAAGGCCCCATGAAGTTTAGAGGTCTGTGACTGACTTCAGGAGCTAGCGACCTCTGCCCACTGCGCCTCAGCATCTGCTGCCCTCACCCCGTCAGTTTGGGAGGCCCAATGGCTTCCACTTCCATGCCTGTGGGCTTGATTTGTACACCCGTGGCCATGGAAGTGATTTGAACACCTAATTTTCATTATTTGGATGGATGAGCTATTACAATATAGTCCACCTGTATTGATAAAAGAAAGGCAACTACTTGCAGAAGATTAGCTCGAGACCACTTTAAGGAGAAGATTTACAGACTGTGGCACACATTGGTAGAGGCAGTACCCCCCCTTACTTCATGGGGGCAACCTTTTACAGCAGCAACCTTAATCTTGCTTTCTCTCTTCTCAAGAGTTCAGTATTTTTCTATTTGACTGACAACATGATAGAATGAAAGCCATTTGTTTAATCAATTCATTTCTAAAAACTGTAAGATTGAAAAAAAAGCTAATTAGGGAAACATTTCAAATATGAAAACACAAGTTATCTTGAAAATTTGTCCGTCTTCTTTAGGAATGTATCTCATTTTGTTAATAGCTCAAACATGTCTTAATCCCCCTTAGCATAAACCGATTCTGTTTGCATGTGTAATGTAAATCATAAATGTATCGTATTTTAGAGATATTATAAGCTCCAAATAGGTGTTGGGTGGACCTTGTGTAGTATCTTGTATCATCACGGGCAAAAACTGATCATTATCTTCTCTTTCATCATATCATCTGGAATTTTTAACCTATGCAAAGGTCTTTGAAAAATTTCCTGGGGTATGTTTTTTTCGGAGAGAAATAGAGGTCAATAGGGAACATCAAATTAGGCTCTCATTTGATCGCAGTGGAGCAGGAGA